GTGAGGTTTCCAACCCAAACCCATTTTCCTTCTAGCCCAAACCCAACCCACCTAAAACCTAACCCAATTACCTAAACCCATTTACCCTAACCCAAACCCAAAACCCTAAAGCCCAAACCCGTGACCCGGACCCGTTGACCCGTTGACCTTGACCCGGACCCGGACCCGTTGACCGTTGACCGGGTCAACGGTCAGCGTTGACTTTGACAGGTCAACGGTCAACGTTGACTTTGACCTCGGGTTGACTTTTTTGGGTTTTCGTGCGGGACCCCCCCTAGGCTAATTTCGACGTCCTGAACCCGTTTCCGATGTCCGTTTTCCCAAATTCAATCGTTTGAGTAGAGTTTGACTAAATGTACCGTTTATGTGCTTAGGGGCAATTATCGATGGCGTTTCTTTCTTCGCTAGATGATGTGGCTTTTCGACGGCGAAGTACTGTGAGTGGACCCCTTCTAAAAATGCATGTTTTAATGGTAGAATTGCATACACAGAAAAGCATGACTTTACGATTATGTTTTATGAAACGTTTTGAGATAATATGCTTACTGAGGCTAGTTTGAATTATTACTATTTTTCCTATAACCCATGTTCTTATAGAATATCTGATGGATGACGATATGATATTTAGAACATGTTTAGAACACTTCTTTATAGTATAGATGATGGATGACTTTATACTATGAAGTTGATTTTCAATATATGTATGTTCACTGGTTTTGTACTTACCTAGTGGTCCTTTCCGCTACGGGACGTAGGGATAGATCCGGTCCGTCCCGAGCGACGGTTCGGTGTTGGCATAGGGCCTGGAGTGTGTTTTCCTCTGACTGTCTGCTCAAAGACGGGGAGCCGGCACGGGGCCTGAAGTGTATTTTCCTCTGACTGTGTGCTCAGAGACGGGGAGCCGGCATGGGGCCTGAAGAGTTATATCGGACATTCACTAGTGTTTATTATTTATGCGAATTATGATTTGAGATATTGCACGACATGCTAGGTTTCGGAAAACCTATGTTTATCATCATATATATGTGTTTTCATAAAACCTGGGGGTTAGTATGTTGATAACTGTTTTATTATATATATATCAACTTGGTCCACTCATGTTTGTTTTGCGCCCCCTTCAGGACTTAGAATCGAGGCATACAATCCCGACGTCCAGGCACATTCGCATCGGCATCTTCGAGTCCTCTTGGTGTAGGACCCACTCCTTGGTTTCATTCAATTTTATATTATTTTCTTTTAGTGTTCTAGATTAGTGGTGTGCTCTGAACACGGTCCTTATTTGCATATTCATTATTCTTTTATATTTATAAACCTTATTTATCCCTTGTTTTCAGCATTTGCACTCAATAAATGGCTTTCGTCACCCTCGGGTGTCGGCCAGCACGTGCCTATCCTGGTATTCGGGGAATATCGGGGTCGGGGCGTGTCAGTTCGACTGGAAGATTTTCTGGTTTCCTCCAATCATTGATTTTCCACAGGCTTAATCTTGAACTGGGCTGGAGGATTCTTTTGGTCTCCCCCGAAGGTCTGAACTTACTCCTTTTTTTTTTTTTTTTGGTGATTTTGATGATGATTTTGCCGTACACAGTTTATGCTCTTGCGGGCCAGGAGCGTGGTGCCCCCAGCAAGGTCAGGTTGATGACCGACTCGCGCCTTTGATGCTGCTCTTGCTTGCTTAGCGGTATCAACTTTGCAGCGGCATGTTGAGGAGTGGTTGTGGCACCAATGGATGCTCCATTTGTGGCGGAAGTGCTCATGCTTCTTCCCTTGGTGGTTGCAAGAACGGATTGTCCCTTGCTTGATGCCATTGATTTTGGAGGTGTGCTTTGGTTTTCTTGAACGGAGAAAAAGATGAGAGGTAGAGATTGTCCCACCGGGCGTGCCAAATTTGTGAACACGAAAAATTCCTGAAAACAGGAAACAAGAATACGTGTACAAAATAATATTTTGTGTGTTTAATGATTTTGGGGTTACGATCTCTCAAATTTGGTCCTTTGATTCAATCTCCGTAGGGTGTAGATTTGTTGATCCAAGGGCCGTCGAGGCTTGATCTTGGATGAACAGTTGTAAGTTTCTTCAAGGGCCTTCGTGGCTTTGATCTTGAAGGTTGATGGAAGTTTCTTCAAGGGCCTTCAGGGCTTGATCTTGAATGTTGATGGATGAGCGGATCTTCAAGGGCTTTTGGGCTTGATCTTGAAGAACGGTTGGTTTTCTTCAAGGGCCGTCGAGGCTTGATCTTGAATGAACAGTTGGTTTTCTTCAAGGGCTTTTGGGCTTGATCTTGAAGAATAGATGTGTGGATTTGTTTGTTGATCCAAGGGCCGTCGGGGCTTGATCTTGGATGAACGGATCTTCAAGGGGGGGGGTTGGGCTTGTTCTTGAAGAATGGGTGTATAGGTTTGTTAAGGTCGTTGATCCAAAGGGCCGTTGTGGCTTGATCTTAGGATGAACGGATGATGAATGAATCTTCAAGGGGCGTTGGGCTTGATCTTGAAGAATGGGTGTATGGGTTTGTTGAGGTTGTTGATCCAAAGGGCCGTTGGGGCTTGATCTTAGGATGAACGGATGATGAATGATGAACACTTTCTTCAAGGGCCGTCGGGGCTTGATCTTGAGTTGGTGGGAGTTCTTCAAGGGCCGTTGGGGCTTGATCTTGAAGGAGGATTTGACGAAGAACGAAGAGTACTTTCTTGATCCTTCGGGATTTTCTTGAGAGCTTTAGAACTTCAAGGCTTCAAGGTTTTTGGATGTGTGGGGAGTATTCTCTTCCATTTTGGGAGTAGAGAAATGTATTTGTGAATTGGTCTCCTATTCCTCTTGATGGAGAAGCTTATTTATAGGCTTTGAGAGTGAATCACCACCATTCATTTTTTTGGTGAAGTGAGTGGATGATGTAGGTAAGGTAAATGGATGATGTAGGTGAAATGAGTGGAGGTTGTTGGTGAAGTGAGGGAATGATATAGGTGAAATAAGTGTTGTATTGGTTAACATTTATTTCACTGAAATTTCGATGTCTACAAGTATATCTAAGACAAAGTTAGCTACTATGACACCTAGCACAATCCTAGCCTATGAGTTAGTCTAATCTCAGTCATCCAATTCCAATTCAAACAAATAAGGACAAGACTAAGGAACTTGAACTCTAAGACCATCTCCAACTCGGCCGGCCATAGGCCAAAGGAAAGCCCTTTTTGACACAAAACTCATCTCTAATGGAGGTTTGGGCCAAAAAACCTTGGGAGCCATTAGGCCAAAATCTAGCCATATGGCCATCGGGCTGGGAATCCTTAACCAACTAGCCAACCCGTTCAGTTAGGCCCAGTTAGATTTTTTTAAGACGAAATTTAGATAAAAAAGAAAAATTTTAATTTTTTTTTTCCAATAAATACCTAAGACATTTCTACACCATTTCTCACATCCTTTCCACCCTTCCGTACTATCTTACCTCATTTTATTTCAATTGTTCACATTCTATTCATCTCAAATACTCTTTTCATACACCCCTCTCTTACCTCTTCCAATAATCTTTCCTTTAATTATTTCAATAATTTTCAAATTGCCACATCTTAAAGTGGCACTCAAAATGTGTCTGGAGGCTTATTCATTTAGCAACAACTGGCACTCCAAATATGTCTAGAAACCTGGTAGTTTAATTCAATTAACCAATAAAATTAAATAACATACTTAAAATAATATATTATTGAGAGGGCTAAAAAATAGCCCCATTCGGTTGGAGATGATATATAAATATAGTCAGACACTAATCATTAAAAAATAATTTCTTCCAAGGCTATAATCTGGATAAGGGCTAAACATAGTCCTTTTGGTCCAAAGGGTTATAGGGCAAAATATGACATTTTTGACACAAAACTCATCTCCAATAGAGGGCTAGGCCAAAAAAATTTGTGACCCACAGGCCAAAATCCAGCCACATGGCTAGGGGGCTAGCAAATATAACCAGCCAGCCCAAAAAGTTGAGCCTAACTGTCATCAACCCACTTGCTAGCTAACGTCAGCTAACCGTTGGATTTGAATTTTCTTGTTCTTTAAGACGAAATTAAAAAAAAAATTAAAAATTCTAATTTTTTCCCTATAAGTATCTAAGTCATTTCTACACCATTTCTCACATCCTTTTCACCATTCCATACTATCTTACCTCATTTTATTCAACTCTTCATATTAAAGAATGATTTCTTTCAGGTTTATAATCTAGATGAGGGCTAAACATAGCCCCTTTAGTTAAGATGGCCTAAGAAATCAGCTTCAATGCTTAATCACTAACACTACATACCTGATTGAAAAGAAAGAAAAAACAACTTTATCGTACAAACAGATAAGTAAATACTGACCACCGCATGTGAAGAAAGAATATGCGAAAAAGCAAAAATCTAAATAGAAGAGCTCTCAGAAGCAGAAACCAACTCAAAACACGAAAGAGTCGCAAACTCTTACCACACAAACTCACCATTTCTTCCCTCTCCCAGGTCCCTTAGTCTTACTACTATACCAGTGATGATGCGCCAAATACCTCAATCCCCATCACCCCGTGACCCACAGATACAATCCCGTATCCTCCCACCTCTCCTTGAGGCAGCCACCGCCTTCTCATTCTTCTCTTCCTCATGTCTCGACTGCTTGAGATCACTCAAAATTGCCTTAACAACCACCGCCTACTTTTCCCCGTAGCTTGAGTCCACCATATCACTCAAAGGTGCAGTGCTCTGACACTGATCCAAATACCCCCAAGTGCTGAGAAATTATCATTTTTAAAGAGAGAGATGCTACAGTTCCCTCCACCTCAAGGAACTCCAAACGTCGCTGCCTAATCTCTTCCAAACGTCGACATTGCTGCTTCATCTCTTCCAAATGTCGCTGCATCATCTTTTCCACATCACTTGACTCCTCCGGATCAGTGAAAATGTGATGAGAAATTTGTTGGCAGTCCCACATCAGGGGGAAGAAAACGAATGAGTTTAAATACGATTACCCCTTTCTAACAATTACTGAGACCTTTTGTGGTAAAACCCCAGCCCCAAACGTCGACGTTTGATCTCTTCCAAACGTCGATGTCCCTGCCTGGTCTCTTCCAAATGTCGCTGCCTCATCTCTTCCATATAGCTTGACTCCTCAAGATCAATCAAAATTTCTGAATCATTCCTACCGGGGAAGAGGGATTCCACATAGCTTGACTCCTCAGGATCAGTCAAAGTTTCTGAATCATCCTTCCAGGGGAGGCAGGATTCCACATCATCCACTTTCTTATTTTGCTCATTGTTTGGGACCATCGCATTAATCATAGGTGCAGTGCTTCGAAACTGAGTCAATATACATCAGGGAAAATATGTGTTACATACATAATAAGGCATTTAAAAACTAAACCATTTAAAACTAGTATATAGGCAAATGATGAACGTACCTTAGTTCCTTTCCAGAGGTGTTCAACCCAACTATATTGCATGTCAATTTCAACAAGAGTCTCTGGGTTAAAATTGGATGATAAAGACTTTAGGGGACATTTGTCCCAGAATAGATAACTTAATTTTTTAAAGAGAAACTTTAGATCCTCGTATTTCCATTGATCAACGGACTTCCTGATCGGTGGTCGTAAATAGTGGGTATAGACTTTGAGTAGTCTTAGTTTTGTCATTTCAACAAAAGCGGTGTTTAATTTCACCACATTGTCTCCATGTGGCCAACGCACAATTATGCTTTCAACTGCTTCTGTAGCCTATAACCAAAATTGCAAATTGAGTGAGTACAAAACTTAAGATTATAACACCTAATGCACATGTTTCTCATGAATTGGATTTTGGTCAAAGTTGAAGCATTATACTTTTTATAATAATAATAATAATTATTTAAATTTACTAACATAAAGGGAGGGAGAAGATTCGAAATAGTTACATTAATGGAGGGGAGGGGGAGTGCATTTCTCAACGTTTTTTGAGTTAACACATGATGCACATCTTCATAGCTCCACAGCCTACTGCGCCTCCCGGGCTCTTTTATAGATTCCTGACGTACGATTTCACGACCCATTTCCTCTAATAAATCATGCATCTCAAGTACACCGTCAGATGAGATAACGACAAGAGCTCTTCCAACTAGGACGTCTAATCCGGTATGGGGATGCAAGTCACAACCTTCCATAATCCGTATTGCGAAGTCTTTCTTCATTTGTTTAAAGAAACATGCAATATCAAGAAATATTTCCTTCTGTAAACCATCTAGTCCATCAAAGCTTGTTCTAAGGACTTTCTGAATTCCCAGGTGCGGGTTTTTCGCTATTTTCTTTAACTCATCTTTCCACAAAAGTACACTTTTGTTATCGAGAAATGCTCCCAAGACTTTAAGTGCTAAAGGCAAACCTTGAGCATATTTTATGAAATGGCCTGACAGATCAATGTATTCTTCTGTGGGTTGCTTTGTACTGAAAGCATACTGCATAAACAGCTCAAGAGCGTCATCGTCATTTAACAACTCGGGCTCATATATCTGATCACCAAGTCTACTTAGTGACTGCTTATCTCTAGTTGTTATAATGATTCGACTTCCGCCACCAAATGAAGGTTGCTTTCCAATTAAGGCTTCAATTTGGGATGAACTCTCCACATTATCCAGAACAAGTAAAACTTTTTTCTTACCGACTCTTTCCATCATCTTCTGAAAGCCATTTCTCAAAATCTCTGAACTCCCCACCTTCATATTTGTGATACTAGATAGAAGTTCTGCCTGCATATCTAGTGGTGCTTCACCTGCATCAGTGGAGGGAAAACGTCCCTTGACATTTTCAAGAAAGCAGCGACCTTCGAAGTGATGATTGATTTTGTCATACACAGCTCTAGCGATGGTGGTTTTGCCTATACCGCCCATACCCCATATTCCAACAAGGCGAACGTTACCGACCTCAGGACATAATAGTGAATCCATTTTCTGTAAGCGGGAATCCATTCCAACCAAGCCACTCTTTTCACTTGATAAGTTGTTGATCAATTTCTTAAAAATATCATCTACAATCAACTCAATAAGCTTGGCATCATCCCTGCCAAATTTGAAAAACAGTATTGTCAAGTCCTGCGATTGCTAGTTATATAACACTCATCACGCTGTCATTGAAAACACAAAGTAACGACTCAATAATTCTCAATTTATTCTTCTTTCATTTACTCAATGCACTCTTCTAAGTTCAATCAACATATAAGAAAACTAGTCATGTATATCCTCCCCAGATGTTTTATAGACCCTTTAATCGTGGCCATATATATATTGGTCTTGCGGTTTGAAGAATTAATTTAACTTGTTCTTGTTTACTTATTAACGTTGGACAACGTCTTTTGTAAATTATGTCTCCTCTCTACTTCTTACACCTGGTCTTTCCTCATCATGAAAGAGGGAGAAAATTAAGAGGTTTTGTACAAATGACGTCTTCCCATGTGAAAACGTAAATAAAAACAAGTGAATTCTTCACCGCAAGATCAATATCAAGGCCCCCTAATTTTTTAAATTAGTTTCCTCTTCCCTTCTCATAGAAAATATCTAGGTGTGGCGGTGGAAAGTTTTGCAGACAGTTGGTGGGTATTCAATTTTGTAGAGGGTTGCGAAGGAAGTCTTGGTTCTAGTTGTATTAACATTAATTATAACCACAAGAAATTAGCGACTATAAACGAAATAAGAATTTTCTTCGAGACTAAAAAGACCAAAACAGGAAATTAGCTAAACTTCTAAACTAGTAAGTTCATAAGATTATGAAGGAATGAGTTACTGGTAATTTTGTGAATCCCAGCCACATAAATTGGGGGCTCTTTGTAGAGCGGACCTCCACCGCTGCACTTCCTCCATGTCGGCGTTAGGATCATGTTCATGTTTAGAAAAAGCTTTCTCAAAACTTCCCTCGATTTTACGAACATGAGATGGGTCTACTTCGTAGAAAATGGGAATCACAATCTGCTTCTTCTGATCCATGCATTGCAGTATTTGGACGAGTTCTTTCAAGCACCATGTGGAAGAAGCGTAGTTTTGAGAAAAAACTACAATTGAAAGCCTCGAGTCGCTTATAGCTGTGAGTAGCTGCGAAAGGCCGTTGCCTTTTCTGAGCTGTTCAGCGTCAATGAACGTGTTGATTGAGTTCTGAACTAGAGCTTTGTAGAGATGGCCAATGAAGGTCCTGCGAGTGTCTTCGCCTCGAAAATTCAAGAAGACATCATATTTCCAATCAGGAACAGATGAAGAAGAAGAAGCCATCAACAAGCACAAGATCGACAGCCCAATGTGAGTCTCGTGTAGCCCCTTAACAAACTCAAGACTGCAGGTCAACGACCCCCTTCATTGGTTCTCACTAGAAAAATGGGATGCATCTTCAAGGGGGGAGCTTTGAAGTTGCCGGGAAAGAATGGTCGTTTGGCTAAAGTCCAATAACAAATACAAATGAAAGAAAGTAACATTCATATTTTTTTTTTTTTTTTTTTTCCCTAATTCCTCGTAGCATATTAAATTTGTTTTAATATGTGATGTTTTACTCCAAAAAATTAAATAAACTAAAATCCTTAACTGCAATCATTCTGTTCTGCCTAGAAAAGCCTTCCCCAGCCTCGAAGCAAAGAGTCCTTATGTTTCCAGCATCTGACATGTAAAAGTAATTGTAGTTGATCCTAGTAACCGAATCTGCTAAATGAGGAAAGTGCCCGACGTTGAGCTTGAACGAAAGCACTCTGAGCAGGAAAGCAATGCAATCATCAAACTGCTTCTCAATACGATCGACTTCCATTTCGCATTTGGCCTTAATTGCAGAAACTGTTCCGCCGCTAAGCGTCAGTTGTATAAAATAGAAGTCCAATGCTAATCCCAGGATGTTGTTTATCCTGCTTGCTATGAGAGCCCACAGCTTATCTGGAACTACAAAGCACTGCCGCTGAATTGTCAACAAGTACAATTCATGTACTTCTATGACTTCGTCCAGAGATCGAGCGGCTGCCATACCTTCGCATAGCTCACGCCATGCATTGTGATATACTCTGTCCATCACATACTGGTGAAAAGCATCGACAAAATGGAGAAGTTTTTGCTCCACTAACCAGTGACACTTGTGGTTGTTTGCGGCACTGCCTCTACCCTTCCACATCCACCTTCGAGCTATATCAAGTACGAATTTTGCTCGCTTAACCTTCAACAAGAACCCCATGACCTGGTTATATTTCTTGATTGCCTCCGCGTTTGCAATAAGTTCAAGTGGCCAAGAGACCTTATATGTGAAGTTTAGTTGATCAAGTCCATCCATTCCAAAGCTCTGAACACGACTTTTATGAGGAGTTGAGGGAAGGGAAGCCATCTTAGGTTGCTCATTTCCATTTAAGTCGTGATTTTTGGTGAGGGATACAATCAATGAATCAGGAAAACTTAGTAGCACTCCATCAGCAGAGTTTCTTATAGATTCCTGCAATATCGTGTTTAACTCTCAAAATCATCATCCCATGTTTCTCCTTTATCCAGCTTATTGAATATTACAGTCAAGAAGTGCTGTAGCAGATCACCTGACCATAGCAAGAAAATCGCGCACAAGACTGCTAGTTCATCCATCAATTTCCAGTCATTCATCAGTTTTGACAAAATATGCCTGCCAATACAATCCACCTGCTTCTGCATGTAGACAGTAAGACATTCCTGCACTATAACCACCGGAAGTGGAGTACTTCTTGGTTCAAAATGTTGAATCCAGGCAAGAACTCTTGATGGAAGGGTGCTATTTTTTTGGAAAGGTAAGAGCTCTGACATACAGAGCTCATCCTGAACAGATGGTAGAAGAGTAGGAAAAGGAAACAACGATTGTAACATATGTGAGTCATCTTGTGAACGAAGATATTCTGATTCACCAAAGCGGAAACCAAAAGTATAATTTGTTCCTTCAGCCAAAGAAGTTGATCCACTCTCCACACCGAAAATAGCCTTTCGTAAAGCTTCATCGTTTAAAGGGGGCAGACATAAATTTCTGGAGAAGTTCAAGGATTTCCATGCATCCCCGTTCTTAGAAGGGATCTTTTGGCAGACTGTTAGAACTGGATTTTCTGACAGAAGGATCTTGAATGAGGAAACCCATTTACCACACCTGCAAACATTTTCTCTTCATTTGCATCTGTAAATCCTTTTCCATTATCACGTGCAGACTCTGGTTCTGTTACTCTTTTCTCTGCCAGTGTATCAACCAAGAACTTACACCAAAGTTTCTGTGAGCATTTTACTGGCACAATCACACTATCATCACTCTCCACTTTTTGTTTAGTGGATATATGTTGAAAGATATGGTCACCATGGCCTATAAGGCCTAACTTCTGACAAAGTCAAAAGTTTCTCTGAGCATTTTACTGGCACAATCACACTATCATCACTCTCCACCTTTATTAAAACTTCCAAAACCATCAACCTCAGAGTCATTTCCGTTTCTATATACAACTGAGGATGTCATGGGAATATGCCGGATCAGCTGTAACAATTTTCCAGCAGAAACAATAGACTTAGCTATGTCCTTAATAAACAATGGACATGATTGAAGGTCTTTATTGCCACATTCCTTTCCTTTCATAAAACTTGTCACTGAGGCAGAGGTCGCAACATCTAACATTTGATACTGTACTTGCCTTAATAGATAACTCTTCTCCCAAAAGTCAGTCTCGTCAACAGATATTGCTTTATTAGCATAAAGGAACATCTCCTCGTATGGATCATCTAGTGTTGCTTCAAAAAGCCAAGAATCAAGACCCTCAATATACGGCAATATACTTCCAATAAATAAATAAAGAAGCATCTGGTAATCTTCCTCCTCACCACCTCGCACTAGACACACCTCATCCAGCTTCTTGTAAAGATGGTCGAGGACGTGAACAGCCAAGTAAGCAGCAGGAAGAGACGAATTAGACTCAAAATACACCTGTGGGATGGCACCATGCACTATTTGCAACAGATACTCAGCACCTGAGCAGAGACTAGACAAAGAAGTGGCCAATCCCAATAACGTAGGGGTTGTACTAATGCCATCTTCTCTTATCTTCATTTCCTTCTTTAAAGCAATATCACGCAACCTCTTAAGCCACGCAGAAACAGAACATGCAAAAGCCCTCCAAGTAGGCGGGGGTAATCCAGCAGACTTCTTGATTTTGTTGACTATAATTTCCACCAGTTGTAAGCATAAAAAGCACCAGTAGTATCCATATGAGTAAAGTCACAAAGCTCAGTAGTACTTCGAAAGTCCTCACACGAAGTTCGAGCAGGCAAGTGACCACCCATTTGCTCATGCGCTCCAAGGATAGCATTAAAGTCACCAATTGCCATCCATGGCATTCTAGTAGTAGCCGCATAAACAATAGTAAACTGAGAAAGAACACCTTCAAAAGAAGCCTAAAAAGTAACTTGTTGCCCTGAAGAAGAAATTATAGTAGGAGAACAATAATCCGTAGAATACAAAACCCAAATATTAGGCAATAAATCACCCCTGTTATTGACAGTAAGTAAAGATAGACCTAATGAATTCCAATAAGCAGAAGGAATAGAATCAAAAGTAACCATAGGTTCAGAGATGCAAACCAAGTCGGGATGATGGGAATGGCAAACATTTGAAAGCTCCGTACGTGTTTCAGAATTACCAATACGGCGAATATTCCAATAAACTAGCTTCATTTGGAGGTAGAAATCACTTGTCTTCCTGCCCTTGTAACATAGGGTTCTTCTTGCCTACATGCGTCAACTTTTTGGTTTTTCTTTTGTTTCTTTTTCTGAGATTTACTAAGAACTAGAGTAAAGTCATTTGAATCCTTCCCTGCATCCACAGCGTTGATCTCTTTCCTCGAACCAAAACCAGGTGGGACATCAACATCAACATCAACATTGTGGTCGATATTATTTTCTTCCGTAGGCTCATCTCCTATCTCCTCTGAAAGAGTACCATTCAAGTTGCGAGAAGGGGAATCATTAATAATATTGGTTGGTTGTACCTCTAGAAGCTGTCTATCTGAAATTGTCTCTAAGTGACAATGAAAATCTGTCGATGAATCAATGACCTTGTCAGCCAACACACTTAGCTCATTATTCACAACAGTCATTAATATTTGATTTACAAAATCGTTGACTTGTTCAGTAGGGCGTTGCTCAAGAGAGCTACAAAGTGGGACCCCCATATCATTATTAAGTCCAGTAGAACACTTATTGTGAATAATTTCAACTGAAGGGGAACATTCCATGTGTATAGGATCACCTGAAGGAGAAGCAGTCTTAGCCGACGGTTTTGGACGATAGACTTGACGAGTTGGTGATCGTCCGCGATGATGCGCCTCAACATCTGGATGCATCCCATCGGAATGATTACCCTTTAAATGTCGGCATTTGTTTCTATTATGGCCAATTACACCACAATGTCCACAGGTTGGTGGCAAATTCTCATAAATAATATCAACAGAAAAACCATGTTGTTCCCGCTCAACCATAATAGATGAAGGCAAATCAGCAGAAAGATCCACATCGACCAGAATTCTAGCATAATAACCATATAACTTTTCACGTGTAGCATGATCCAACTGGAGTGGGGTACCCACCCCACGAGCAATTTCCATAAGAATGCGAGGGTGCCAATACTCTTGACTTAGGCCATATATTTTGATCCATACCTGTGCATGTGTTTGGGGAAGGACATCACCAAGTTTGAAATCTGGTTGCCATTGAGACAACCTAAAAAGACCAAATTGAAGTGTACAGGTTCCACCACCCCATACTCTTCTCACATCTTCTTCGTTGGAAAAGTGAAGATCAAAATATCCCTTGCCAAGAGGTACCAGTTTCCATGAATTGTGAGGCTTCCATAAAGAAGCCAAAGCACTCTTCAGAAACTCAGTCTTCATCGGCATCGTTCCTTTTTTTAACAAAAGCCTACCAATGAGGTTTGTTCGGCATGAACGTAATTGTTCTTGATAGAGGTCCTCACTGATTTTGACGTAAGTCACATCTCCCCGAACAGTAGGAGAGGGAAGTTGACTTAAATTAACTGAACTTTCCGAACCATTTGTGACAATGGCAGCAAAGGTCCGTGCTTTTGGAAGTTGACCGGATAATTGACCAGTGGCAATATTCAATTTGGAAGAAGTAGCAGAGAAGTCAAGAAAGCCCCATGGGCACAAGGCAACGGGTGACTTGTCCATGGAAACCAAGAGATTAACCTACAACAAAATGCATTCGAATATAATAATATAAAAAATTAAATATAAAATTAGATGATTCAACCTGTTGAAGAGTGTGTAGGTGCAGCCAATTGTTGAAAATCCTTCAAAAGCAGAGTTTGTTGGTGC